GCAATCATTGTATTGCAAGCATACAATGAGCACACCACTTAAACAATTGAATGATAATGAGTATGAAGTCAAGTATGAAGCACTTGTAGCAATACATAAATACCATTGAAACTGATTTGGAATTCAGTATACGAAATATTAAGGAAGGATATGACACAAATATTAAGCCGAAGGATATGACACCAACCTTATTCTGTCTATCAGAGTAAATAACTACCACATTAATGTAAGTGAGAATGTTGAGGCAATGGCCCTTATAAGGGAAGTTAATGAGGTATTCAATATATTATCAACCATCTGCTAATCTAAAAAGTCCCATTAAGAACACACCTATGATTTTATATTAGTGTAAGTTGCAAGAATATCTGTTAGTTCCACAAAGCCAAAGCACTGACAGTTTTCAGGAGAAAAATTCTTCTTAAGATCTTTGACCCACTACGAGTTGGCCCGAGTTTGACCCGCATCCGTATGAACTACGAGCTATATGTGCTTTGTCACGACATTAATATAATTCACTGCAGTACCATCCAGCAGCTTCCCTGGTTTGGTCATGTCGGAAGAATGATTGAAGATACTTCAGCGAAAAAGTATTTGAAGCAGTAGTTGGGAGAAGAAAGCGTAGAGGTAGACTGTGTCTCCAATGGAGTAATTAAATTGAGAAAGCACTAACCGAACTACATGTACGAGGCTAAGGAAGAGGCGCCTGAAGAGACGATATCAGTATATATCTAATCATCTATTCATGGCGTCCATGACCTGGTACCTAGTACGTATGCAATCATCTTTTTGTGGTTAACTATTCTGTGAATTCCTTATGTTTTAGAACACTTTAGACGTATTTTGATATAAATAAAAAAAATAAATTGTCATCTTTATGGAAATTGTCATTTTAATCTTTTTATTCTCTTTTTCTAATATTGAAAATTTACATTGTCATTTGAAAAGTAAAAGCGCCCTAACTTCCATCCGGTCCCATTATAAAACAGAAGCAAATTTTTTACAGATTTGCATACTGTGTATACTTAATGATTTCATTTCCTAAAGCTTCAGTTGCATGTCTAATGCTCTAATCAGCTAAGATTATAAAATCCGAACTGCAATCTAGCTAAGACTGATTTAGCCATAAACGTTGAAGTGCACAGATGTGTACATTGCAGGACTTATTTTACGAGATTATCTGTGTTTGAATTCAATTTATTTGAAATGCAATTTTATTCTGTTTGGAAAAATATATATTGTATATTATGTAAAAATAACCGAAGCAGGCTCCACAGGAAAATGAGAAATTAAATTTAAAGTTATTTTTCGTTTTTGTTTATTTTGTTTATTCTAAGCAAATTTTAAGCCATTAGTATGCTCAGTCCTGGAGATGTATCTTGCAGATAATTTAAAATATATAAAACGGCAAATAGAATAAAAATGGGAAATTGTGCATCAACAGTAGATTTTGTTATGCGTACTTCCTGTGCTTGCAAAGGAAGTCTTCTTTCTGTTCGTAATCAAATTTATACTAAAGGAAAGTAAAAGCAAAACAAATATCAGAAGAGCGCACCAAGGACTAAGGACAACATAACAAACGAAGCAAACAAGAAACTAAACGAGGATAAAGAATAAAAACAAAAACTAACCGCTACTACCGTTCTTACAATGTTTAGTGGCTCATCCTGCTTGCTGTTCCAAACTATCGATGGAGTCCTTCGGTATACTCACGTATACTCAAGCGAAGCCACCAGGATTTACGGCGCATGTCTGTGGCTTCTCTTATTGGAAAATTGTTGCATTTCTTCCCCTGCATGTTTTTATCCGTGACTGGGGTACTCAACAATTG